AGGTAGGAAGCTGGTTTTAATTTTGATTGGTCTTACTTGAATCTTTTATGCAGTCTTCCCATCTCTTTTTCCGCTTTCTCCCCAAACCCCAATGCTTTACTGGATTGCAAATAAAAATAAAGGAAACCCCTGTTAGCATTTGTGGGGGGAAATTATTATTGCTGGCTGCATCAGAGAAATGTTATGTCAGATAAAACTGTTAAAGTGTGTCTAAGCAACATTAAGAGTGGCAGGCCCGCCAGTGACTGACTGGGTGAGTGAACACATTACCCAGACAGCATTGTAGGAATTAATTTTCCTCAATAAAGTGATTTTTAAGGCTCATATATTTCACAATCTAAACATATGTCAGTGTTTCATAAACAAAATAAATGGATTAAAATAAAACATTACCAATATGCTGACACATGGAGATACTTTAATTAGGAATATTTAAGCTGTGTGATATCTAACTGCTGTATTTGCTGTGGTGGAGTGTGTCCCATTTCACAAAGCCACAAACAGGTATGACCCATTTACACAATGAAAGGCGGAAGCCAAACCCAATTGTCTTTTCTCTAGGATAGCCTATTGCATAGCATTAACCCCAATAAAAATCGCTTTAAGCTTGCAGCAATATACAGGAAATGCCTAAAGAGACACGGCTCATATACCAACTTTTCCACGGGGTGGGGGGTTGGGGGAGAGAGGGAGGAACAAATGAGATGCTGGTTCTTGAGAATAATATTTCTTCATAAAAGGCTACATTTAATGCCTTAGCTATTTAAAGGCCATATTTACATGACTGTCGCATTACAGCGGCCTCTCTCCTGCACATTCTTTTCTACTTACTTTAAGGGCCTGCACGAAAATAGCTGAGGAAAGCAAATGTCAATCCTGTCCTGAAATTTATATGTGTGAGAGAATTAGAATAAGTAGAAATGTAATATATTGTTTACTGTACCGAGTGCCCTCTGTTCTCTAAAGGTCAAAAGCATTGTAACCTTAGAGTTACAGTTTCTGATTGTTCCCAGGGTTAAATACATTATCAAAATTAATGGTTCAAACCCTCAACCTTCAAATATATGAGTATTCCTGCCTCCATCTGCTGAACTGTTCAACTAAAAATAGCATTCTTTGGCCTTCATATCGCTAATATTGTACCCCTGAGGCAGGCGCTGCAATGCTTCAGCAATACTTTGGATCTGCACCCTGTGGTATAACAAAAGGTCGTTACATGGTGCAGAGCAAAGAAGAGAGAAGAGGGAGAGAATAAAGAAGCTGGCTGGACAGGCTTTTGTGACGGGTGTTGTTTAATTTCACTGGTGATGAAAACTTTCAGCATACAGCTGCAATCAGGGCTAAGAGTTGCCAAGGCTCATTAATGTTATACATGATAAACTTTGAAGGACAAATTACTCAGGAAGCATCAGGGATATAAAGGAGAAGTTATAGGTTGGTTTTTACTCTTTCACCCTCCCCTCGGCCTCCATGCACACTTCTAAAGAACATTTTGTTTAGGACAAATCCAGTTAACATAATTGCCTCTTTTTTTCCTTGTCCTTCTTCCTCTCCCCCACCCGTTTTATATACATGTATACACACCCATATCACTGCTTCTTTTGCTTTGCTTTGAGGGATAGAAGGCAAAATGATGCAAAGCTCTCTCTCTCTCTCAAAAAAAAAAAAAAAGATATACTGAAGCTCAACCTTTCTAAGCCCAGGGCAGAAGGGGCTATCAGATTATTGCACTGGGACATATAGCTAAACCTTCTTATTAATTAGTTAATTCAAGCACTCATGGGAGGAAGAGAGAGTTTGTCAGCATGAGCCCTGATGTGATTCCTCAACACTGAAAGTAGTCAAGGGGTTGTTAGGATTTGATCCCCTTATTATTAATTCTAATGTTTATTCTTTTTTTCCAAATCCCTTTCCTTTTAAGGACTGAATGCCTGCACTTTTGGAGTCATGGTCTTGTGAGAGTAATAAACAACGAAAAAGATCAGAGAAAGACAGGTACATTAGACTTGTGTAAATTTCTATGTACTCTTCAGTCTTTAATCCCATATATTTAAAATGGATACATCACAATTTTCTCCACAGCTGTTCGTTCTGAGAAGCAAAGTGGACAAAAGCCTTTAAAAAGAGTAACTCTTCTGCTACTTTGAATGGCTCACAGATTAGACAATAGCTCATTGTGACTATTTTAATCAGGAATTGTACTGAATAGAATTCAATATGCTGTCATCCACAAAATGTTCTAGATCATGCAATATTCTGGACCTCAGCTAATAAACTAATGAATTACAAATTTCAGGATAGCCCATGCTATTCTAGAGCACTTGCTTACAGATAATAGTTTTCTGCATTACTCAGTGGACCACACATTTCTCTTATTTAGGATACATGGCAAAAGACTACTTAACTTTAGTCTCTGAAAAAGCTTAGACTTTCCTGATATTTGGATTACAGTTCACAATACCTTGCCATTGAATATACTGAAATGACTGGGAGATATAAAACACAATATCTGGAAAGCACCAAGTTGTCTACCATGCTGAAAGACATTGTTATGTGCGCTAGGAGATGCTATAGATTAGTGATACCTTTTAGAGCACTGTAACTTATATAGTATTGAAAGAGATATAGCTGTCAGTAGAGTTCAATCAGCAATCTCAGCAAATTCTTCAGAAAGAATAACTGTGTTTGGGCCTGTGTGTGTTGCTACAGTTCTTCTTAGATATACAATAGTGTCACAATACAATATGTGTTATGCAATTTCTGTTGCAGAAGTAGAGTATTTCAAAAGAAGAAAATAAGATATGATCAACAGTTCCAGTTTACCAAATCTTGACAGGTTATTTCACAGAAATAGCTCAGGTTTAAGAATCATTTTAAGAACAAGTTCTGTTAAATGTTAGAAAGCTTCGATGCATAAAAATTGATCGTTCTTATAACTCAAGAGCAAGGATTCTCTAATCCAGGCATGTCAAACTTGCGATGTCACGTAATGTCGCACGATGTATTGTGACTTTTTCCCCATTGCCGGCAATGGGGTGGGCGTGGTTTCAATGTGACGCATCCGGCCCGTGGGCCGGCAGTTTTACATGCCTGCTCTAATCAAACTGAGACACTGAGGTACCCATTATAAATACTGGATATATAATAAATAAAAGTTGCCAGGTTGAAATGTGGCTTTTCTTAGACGAAGTTTAAAAGTTACAAAAGTCCTATGCTCAGAAAAGAAACAAGGTAATGTATCATGGATAATGTATAGTATTAGTAGCAAAATATGATTCTTTTAAGATCCCTCTCAATCATAAAAGAGTATGACAACCCAGTAGAGAATAACCATCCCTTTATAGAAAGAATTCCAGGAAAACGTATCATGATCTTTTCCCCTTAACTGCTATAAAAGCCTTCTTTTAAAGAACTTTCTCAGAAAGAAAAGATATAAATGTCTCCTGAAGGCAGGGGAAGAACTGAACAAGAAAATGTCCTTTAAAATAAGCCTAAAACAAATAAGCAGGATACCTATTTGATTATTTGTTGATGTCTTCAACCATTTCCAATTCAAAGTGATAGATCAGATCAATAATACAAATTAGCTAGGGAGCTGTTATACATAAACAGGTGGAGTCTTCAGTTGTTTTTTCTTACAGCCACCATACAGGACCCTATCAGAAACAGAATTGATTTATAATAAGTGAAACGGATTTTTCTCAGTTTCCCTTATCTCTAGTCTTAAATTCAGGTGTACTTTTTCTCCAGTAGGTTTTGATGTTTACATTAAAAATGTTTAAACTCAACTATATCCATTTTTCCCGATATTCTTGTAACTATTTACTCTGACATATGTATTGATTTTATTTTTCCTTACAATATGGATTTTGGAATCATTTCTAAAACTGGAAAATTACACCTTTCAAATGCTGCTTCTCTTTTCTTAGATTCCATCCAATTCTGCACACACAAAAAAGTGATAATTGAGCAAATTTCTCTTTTCATTTATCAGCATCCTTAAAAAAATTCTGCAACCACTAAGGCTGGATTTTTTTTATTATGTTTTAAAGTATTCTGTAATCCAAACAAGCTGGCAATTAAGTAAATCTATTTGCCTCCAACTAAACTATAATGTTTGCCACTACTAACACTACTATAATTTTGGTTGACAAGAGGCATTAGCTACAACATTTAAATAACCAAAAGGTAAACCTCTAATATGATTGCTAAACATACCCACTTTATAAGCTTTTGACTGCTACTTCATTATTTGACTCTATTGTGCCTTTTCTTGGGGAATATTAAAAGGCTATATAATAAATTGGAATATAAATCATTTTCACACAACATTTAGTTCCCCCTATGACAAAAATAAATAAATGACCTAGCAAGGGACCAAACATGAGACTCCTGATGGCTGCTGGCATCCAACCAACTTAACGCATGGAAAGACTGAGATTCCATAAATACAGAAGCTGCAAGTGAACAGTTTAGGAAACAGTCCTTACAAAGCCCAAAAGAAGGAGAAATCGACATTTTTCAGACACCCACTATGAGTAGCAAAAGCTAAAAAGGCTACAAATGGAAAAAGCTTAAGAGAAATAAAATATTTTGAACCTCAATTCCAGTAAGAGCTACTTGTTTCTTCCATCCGCTCTCCACATACACACCCAGCACAACTTAAGTACCTTTGAAACACCTTTCAGTTGAAGAAAAGGCTTAAAGGACTGCTTTAAGCCCACCAACTCAATGGGCTTAAAAGTGCTTAAGCATAGATTGGATTGTGCCAGAAATTATTAAGTAATTGATAAAAATACGAAGTTGGCTGCATTTCCCAGCATCAAGCTTGACACATGCCGCTCTGTTTGCAGCATATTTAGTACATAAGGTGTTAATCCTTCTGGGGCTGTGCTTAAAAAATTACTTAACATTCAAGCCATTACTTAGCATACAGCTGGTTAGCAGTTTTCCACTAAAGTACTGGCTTTGAGCCCACATATTTTTATTCTGGCACATACCTGGAGCTGTAAAGGGCTGAGTCCAGAAGCAGCAGCAGCTGCCATTGTTGATGGAATGAACTGCACAGGATAGTTATCACCTGTCAAGGAGAACAATGCACACAGGTTTAGACAATGAGCAGAGAATAGCAGCATGCAAGTACAAACAGAGCTGGAGCTCCACAACACCGCTTTAAGCCTAAACATCTGCAAAAACAAAAGGGGATTGTTGGGCACAGACTTGCACCTCTGCCTTGGAGGTTCTGCTCATCAGATCGCTAGTAGGCAAACTGGCAAAACATAAAATGCAATGCTGAGTCCTAAGCATGCTCACACTTATTAAAGCTCATGTAACAGCATTGAACAATAATTGCCTGTTTAGAAATTTTTCAAATGATCCTTGACGCAAAGCAATGCACAAAGGCCCAGTTTTGCAGCTTGGGAGCATCAATTCCATTTGAAACTTCTTTACCTGCATTTATTTGGACTAACTGATCAGTTAGAGGAAGTTACCTGATTTCAGTAAATTATTATGCACAACAGTATATTCTTCTATGGGTATATTATTTGGATCTTTTAAACTTATCTCTTTCCTGGTACACATGAGGCAATGTAGCTCAGATTGGCAATTTTTTTCAGTTCTGGGCATTATGGCATAATTTTGTCTGATGATGCCAGGGTACACACACACACACCCAGACACACACACACACACACACACATCATTTTTAAAAGTATCTATCGTTCCTACGTAAATAGAGGCTAATGTTCCATGGCTGAAATTTTTGGCATGTTATTTATTTTGTTACATTCTTGTATAAAGGCAAAATATGTTCATGCTTCAAAGCAAAACATCTGAAATGTAAGTGATACTTGGAATTGATACATTCAACAATATAGTGAATCCTGGATTGTAAATAGGATAAAGATCTCCATTTCTCCCATATAAACTGGGAGTGATCACATAGAAAATCAAGTCACAGGGAACAGGTTTCATTTTCTAGAATCCTCACTATTATGGATTTGGTTAAAATTTTAGAACTCACATGATGTGAGCAAAATTTCTTTCGAATAGGCCTACCATGTTAATTTTCTTCACTTCTTCCCTCTGATTTCCTATCAGTTACTATACTTCCACAAGCTAAACCCTCTTATCTTAGAAAGTGGAAGAAGCAGGTCACTCTCAATACACAAAACATCATTTTTCAGCAGGCCAAATTGCTGCTTTTGCCTCTCTGTCCTCTAGACAAAACGATATTGTTTGGGGCCAAGCCAAGAGGGGATTACCTATCCTGCCCTCCCATCAATTAAAGAATATAGCTGCAGGCCAGTGAAACTCTGAACCCTATTAATGTAGATGCTAGACCTGGACTGCCAGATTTGTTCATATTAATATCCTCTGTTGTTCCATATTTTAAAACTTTCTGTTATCAACTGTAATGCTGATATATTGATTGTCCCATTCCCTGTTTGTATGTTAGATAGGGATTATTTATCTCTGAGTATTTTAGTGTTCAATAGTGCTGTAATTTCAAAGTATTAAGATAGAATTGCTCCTAAAATAAGTAATGTCTAGTATAGGAATCTGTAGCCTATGTGAATAGGATTACTTAATATACTTTCACATAACTACAACCTGCATCACTTCACTAAAGCTGGAAGTGGAAAGAAGGGTGGGGAGTATATATATATGTTCGATGAATAATATATATATGGAACATGAAATGTGTTTGTGTATATATAAATAAATAGATTGATATATTGCACAATAACCATGCCTCGACAATGCTTTCTCATTTAAAGTCAGTGTTATAAACTATCTCCAGGCTATATTTTAATAAGCTATTCCTCTTCCATTTTTTAGAGTTTTATAATAATATACTTGTTTTGCATAAACTTTTTTCACATTACACACAGAATTAATAACATAGGTGTGGTGTAGAAGATTTAACATAATGCAATTTAGGAATGGCAAATTCCCCCATACGCTTACATCAAGTTCTCTATCCCAGCTCAATTTTCAACTATACCATAAATTCCCCAAAGCAATAAAACAGTAAAGAAAATACTCTCTCTTCAGCTTACCATCCAAAGAGCAGTCACTTTTCAGACAAGCTCAGTGTAAATGTTAAGTTGCTTTCACTTTTTTAACAAATGGTGAGGTTCTAATCCACAAGGTCTCTCTGCATCATATACATAATACCTCATCAGATCATTGAGCACAGTATGTGCTTGTACACAGTCCACTAACAATTGGCTTCTGATTGCATACAGAGCACATTGCTACAATGACTTTCCTAACCTACATTGTGCTGGTGTCCTATGGAGTTTATAACATTCATAAAATCTAATCTTATTCCCCCTTTTCTATGATTTTTGTCTGCAGTAGGTTTTAAAAAAAAACTAAACTAAACCAAATTGTTTCTTCATGCTATAAAACCATTGTCTTTTTATGGTTAGATCATTCTGCTTATCTTCTTTGAAAACTAAACAATATTTTCTGAATATAAAACATCCTCATCAAAAGTTAAATAATGTTTCTTTGGCAATAAGCATTTTTAAAAAAGAAACTGTCATGAAAATGTTGAATTAAATTTCTGTTGGTCTAAACGTGAAAACAATAAGCATTTAAATCTACACAGGGAGTGCATTACCAAACATTTCCAAGGCAATCTTTCTTTAAATATAATGAATAATTCATTCCCTTTCTATATAATCCTCTCCACTCTGTGTGTGTGTCCTTTTCTAAGTTCAATATCACTTGCTTTATTTTTATTAATACATACTAAAGCATTTCCTATCTTGCATGTGTGTGTGCGTGTATATATCTTCTCTCTGTTGGCACTCCTTTTTTTCACAGCTGTCATGCTTCCAAGGTTTGAAGTAGTTGGAGTGTGTGTTATTAGGGTCTCTGCCATAGCTGATCGTGTTCGTTGGCTCACCTGCTATAGTTTTGCCTTATGCCGATGGCGGCTTAATTTCATTACTCTGTGTGTCTTCCATCTCTCCCCAACCTTTTAAGCTAACTTTCTGAGCATTCTAATATGATTCATATAATTCTACTACATTATATAATAGCATTGTCTGGAGAACAAAGCAGGACACTTTATACCAATGGAATGTTTTGATGACAATAGTAAAACTGAAGCAGGTACATGTTCTTTGGAGGAAGGCAAGGAAGGGGCTAGCAACAAAGGAGAGGAGAAAATTAAAAAATAGAAGAGGCATTATTTTTTTCCTGAGAAAAATAATTGATCACCGTGTTTCTTAGTAGCTTTTTTAACAACCCGTCGCTCAACATGTTGTAGCAATTTTTTTTTTCAAATTTGTTTTTAGGTTTGGAATGCTTGGGTGAGTATCTATTCTTCTTTAATTTTATAAAGGCAGACAAAACAAGTCAGAACAAGTTCATTGTATGTATAGATACATGCTAGCTTTGATTAGTGGGAGAATGGTTGAATGGAAACAAAAAAAACTCCCACCCTTCATTCTTTATTTTGCAAACTAGTCTTCTAAGCTTATCTGATGATTATATATTGGCTCTTTTATTATTTTTATACCCATTAGTAACTCTAAGATCCAAAATGATGCATCAACTTCTGTTTCACTTGTCAGTATACACAATACTTATTAAAAAGACGAGGCAGCAAATGCTTTCAGTCCTTTCATCTGAATTCCAAGCAAGCAGTGTTTCTTTTTTTTCTTTCACAGACTCAAATAATATAAAATCTGTATGCAGTTCAAAACATTAACATACACATTTCAGAAGATACCTACTTCCATAGTTTAGTCACTGTATCATCTATAGCATAGGTGTCAAACTCGCCGCGTCACATGACGTATCACGACTTTTTTTGCATTGCCAGAGCTGGGCTGGGTGCAGACTCTGCAAGATGCAACCGGCCCGCAGGCCGGCAGTTTGATACCCCTGATCTATAGCAAAGTTTCTCAACCTTAGCGATTTTAAGATGTGTGAACTTCAACTCCCAGAATACTCCAGCATTGGGTGCCTGGGGAATTCTGAAAGGAAATCCACATATCTTAAAATGGCTAAGGTTGAGAAACACTGATCTACAGATTGTCTCATAAGATAATGAATCTCAACTGAATCTTGATAGTTAGATATTTTCTAAGGAAATGAAGCTATATTTATTGCAAAGAAAGTCGTGGGCTAAGAAAGCCAATCTATGGCCCTTATAAGTGCCGGTTTTCTCTGAAAGCAAGACCTACTCCAAAAATAAGCCCTAGCTTGATTTTGGGGGTGGGCATAATATAAGCCCTACCTCAAAAATAAGCCCTAGTTTTGGGGTGAGGCACACACCTAAAAATAAAGCGAAGGCAGGGGTGGGGGACTGAGGGGGTGGAGCTGATCCATGCATCCCACACCAGCTATAGAGGCATTTCCTTTGGCTGCAGAAGTGAGCTGGCAGGCTGGAGCTGTCAGTGCCGCCACCGTGAATTGAAACTGTGGAAAAGACGCTCCCTGAAAATAAGACCGGGTACCTCTTTTGGAGTCAAACAAAATATAAGACCAGGTCTTATTTTCAGAAAAGACAGTAGTTTGCAATCATGATATAAAATTCAGTCTGTTCAAATCCAAAATCCCGCATAAAGCAACACAAGTTTACAAACCTGACCCAGACTGTGATTTTAGACTATAAAGAACTCTTAACTCCTTTTGACAGCTTTTTGTTATTATAGGTAGTCCTCAATTTACATCCACAATCAGGACCAGAATTTCCATTGCTAAGCAAGGTAGTTATTAACTACGTCATGCCGAATTTTATTATTTTTTCTGCCCTGGTTGTTAAGCAATCATGTAACTTTTGTAGTTGTTAAGTGAATCGTGAGATCAATAAGCAAGTGCAGCTTCCTCCATTGAGTTTGCTTGTGGGAAGCTGGCTGGGAAGGTTGCAAATGATCAACACACATGACCTTAGGATGCAGCATTCATCGTAAATACATGCCATATGGCCAGATTTTGAGCATATGACCGTGGATATATTGTGATGGTTGATAGTGCAAGGGCTGGTTGTAATTCACATTTTCCCATGTTGTTGTAACTTTGAATGATTGCTAAATGAATAGCTGTAAATCAAGG